TATAGATTGCAAAATAAATATATGAAATAAAAGGAAATAATGTTATGAGAAAGAAACAATAGAGATTCGTTAAATGAATTCGAATAATTTGGTAAAATAAATGTTGTTAGATTAATTGTTGATTAAAAGTCAACATTTTTTACGTGTGTTTGGAAAAAAAAAAAGAAAATTGATTTATGACCATTTATTTATATGACCAATTTTATATATATTATTATTAATGTTGTTAAATTATTTGATTGATTTTAATCTGTTCGATGTTACACAACTCGGAGGTATTTTAAATGTATAGGGTGTTCAAAAAACCATTCTATATTTATATGATATATATACAGTACTAAATTGTAAATAAAAAAGTTTTAATAAACATAAGTCAAAAAGTTAACAGTTTTTAAGATAAAAGTATTTTTGTTTAGTAGTTTCATGATTAAAATTATATAATTTGTGTACAATAATTATTCTGATGTAAGTTGAGTGCATTAGAGTATTAAGAAAATTGTTAATTAAGCGAAATAAATGCGTATTGATGTTTAAAAGCAATGAATGTATGTCCAGTGCACCGTTCTGTTTAAAATTCAACTGCAGACTGACACGTTGTCCTCCATCAAAATTCTTTTTACACATGCAGCATTGCGCATGTGTAAAAATGTTAAAAATATAACGTTATAATCTTCATTTTTATTTATTGCAAATAGTATTCCTGCGATACACATGTGAAACATTCGGAAAGTCCTATCAACAACATTGAATAAAAGAATTTTGATAGAAGACAACGTCTCAGTCTGAAGGTGAATCTTGAAGAGGATGGTATTACGATCATATATTCCGTGCTTTTAAACATAATTACACAGTTCCTTTAGTTGATTAACAATATTTTTATAGTTTATTGCACTTTTTATATATAGTACAGTCAAATTTTACACCCTAAGTCATAACTGTGCAGGTGTGATAAAATAATTAAATTAGAATGAGAAAAACACTAAAATCCGAGCGTCATAACCTTAAATTCTATTAATTAGTTAGATTCTTACCGTTGTGCACATGCACAACATTTGGCAAGTTATATAGACAAGATGCAATAAAAGAATTTTGACAGGGGACAACCTGTCAGTCTGAAGGTGAATTTTGAAGAGAACGGGAGGACGGTACTCCGATCATATAATTCGAGCTTTTAGATATCAATGCACATTTCCATCGATTAATTAACAATTATTTTAATATTCTAATACACTCTTCTTATATTACAGCATAATTTACCACTCGAAGTAATCACTGCTCAGGTGTGATAAAAAAATTACATTAGAATACAAAAAATACTAAAATTAGAACGTTTTAATGTTAAATACTCGTTATTAGAATAATTATTACCGTTGCACACATGCACAATGTTCGGAAAGTCATATAAACAATATTTAATATAAGAATTTGGAAAGATGACAACCTGTCAGTCTGAAGGTGAATTTCAAAGAGGATGGTGCACCGATCATATACTTGGTGTTTTTAGTTAACAATACACATTTCTTTTGATTATTTAACAATTATTTTAATATTCTAATACACTCTACTTGTATATTAGAATAGTTATTATACACGAGTTATATACAGGGTGTTCAAAAAATACTATTCAAAATCTCGAACAAAATCAGAATGACAAATAATTCATTTAATTATAAAAACAATGGATGAATAATTGATGATAGTATTACAAAAAGACGTATAGGTAAATGTTTATTAAAACTATTAGAAATTTATTCCTAAAGTTATCGACGATACTTTATCTTAATTATACAATAATTAATAGTTACATATACTAACATATATTTAAAATATGTACAGTTTTATGTATTAGTAGACAATATAAGTCTGTTGTGTGGTATCGTAACGTAACAAACACGTGGTCCAATGCACTATGAGCTTTTCCATACTTGTATAATAATAGTATAATACTAGTATATCATATATATATATATATATATATGTGTTCGTTTATGAATGTTGTGTGAGAACGTTCGTTTGAATTATGCGTCAGAGTAGGAGGAGCAGCTTACACGGTGCACAGCACTGGCTCGATTTCATCGACAATTTGAACAAATTACTAGGGTGACTAATTTTCCACGAAGGCCATAATGCGAAGGTTGCCGCGCGAGATCGAATAGACCCTTTTCCAATAATTAGTTGCGTTTTCCCTTACGCGAAATTGGTGTTCGATAACATAATTAATGATCCGCTAGTACCTATCCTCGTAATACTGTTTGCGCGAATGGCATTTAATTTACTTCAATATATAGATATATATATATAGATATAGATATATATTTTGTATCGAATAACAAAGTATCCTATGTACGTACAGTGATTAACAAAAATATTTTGATACTTCGATGGTGTACATTTTTTAATATCATATTTCAATGATTTATTAATCGATTAAAATTTTTTTATCAAATTTTAATTAGTTTTCTTATGTATTATAAGAGATTTTTTCTTGATAATGAAGATTTATTTATAAACATCTATATAATTAAAATTATTTAATGAATTTTGTTATAGTTATTGTTAGCGTATTAAATTATGACTATTGCAAATAAAACCAATATAATAATTTAAATAATTATATAATATGTAAATATATTAAAAATCATTAAAAATAATTATTTTATTTAAATTATTTTAATTATTATATAATTATTATATTAAAATATAATATATTTAAATTATTTTTAATATGTATATATATATATATAATATATATTATAAATGAATTTTAATAATAATTTAAATAATTATAATAATAATTTAAATATTCATACAATTTGAATTATTTTCTTCTTAAAAATTGATAATAATTAGTTAAAAAATATTCTAGATACGAACCATAGAAATATTCGAACAAAATATTAAATCGTATCGAGAAATATATATTTTTCTTTTTGAATAAATGATTTGTATTGATAAAAACAAAATGGAAATATATATAAAAAAAAAAAGGAAAATATGTTTCAATTTTAATATAATATCCAAATATTTTTGGGATTAACTGTACGTGTGAAAAAGACACATATAAAGAGACAGAGACAGAGAGAGAGAGAGAGAGAGAGAGAGAGAAAGAGAAAGAGAGAAAAAAATGTATAATGGGGTTTACGAACAAAATTGGAATTTTTCTGTCGAATTTCTCGACAAATTCAATTTTTCTATTCGAAGGTAATTTCGCGGGACGATAAATCTTACGAAAGCACGAGTTTCGTTCGTTCGTTCATTCGTTCATTCGTATGTTCGTTATCATCAAAAATGGCGTTGGATAATAAGGAAAAATAATGTTGCGTTCGTCAAAAGAGAAAAAAGAAAACAAAAAATGAATTAAAGAAATAAATAAATAGAGAGAGAGAGAGAGAGAGAGAGAGAGAGAGAGAGAGAGAAAGGAAATGAGAGAATGAGAATGAGAATGAGAATGAGTGAGACAGAGTAGTTGGGGTAATACGATTTACATTTGTGTAACGATGTAACGAGCCAGAGAGAGATGGGTCTACATCTCGTTGGCGTTATGTCAGTCGAGGGAGTCGTAAACTCGTATTGAATTTACGCGGCTTTGTTCCACGTTTATCAGCTTTCCCTCTCTCTCTCTCTCTCTCTCTCTTTCTCTCTTTCTCTCTTTCTCTCTATTTTTCTCTGTTTCTATATTTTTGTCTCTTTCTTTCTCTCTTTCTCTATTATCTACTTCTATTTCTATTTTTTTTGTGTATCTCGTATACGAAATTTCGTGGAGAAAAAAATTCTATTTTATAGCAATAAGCGAATGTTTTTGTGTTAACGTATGAAACGACCAGTTAGAAACTGAATGAGAGAGAAAGAGAGAGAGAGAGAGAGAGAGAGATTGTTTGTAGAAAATGCTATCAGTATAAAACGTGATTGATAAAGAGAGAGTAAAATAATTGGAGCGAGTTAAAAAAAGTAAGTTGATGAATTTATCAGTCAGTTAGTTAGTAAAAGAAATAAAGTAATTGAGTTAATTAGTGAATGAATATATAAGTAATTGAGTGAGTTAGAAA